GATAGGATTTTTTTTCTTGGTTTTTATATTTTTAATGCAATATTTTACAAGGATTATTTTTAGTATACTAAGAAGAAAACAAAAAGTCTCATTCTCTCTCTGCCTGGATAACCTCTATAGACGTTCAAAAGAATAGATAAGTAAAAGTTATAAATCATACAATGTTAGAAAAATTAGATCATTAGAAAGATACCAAATTAAAAGTAAAAAAATCTCAAGAGTTAATGACTATAATCACTTTTATAGTGTTCTGTACTTAGTTTTTGTTGCTATTGTTTTTAACTTAATATATCTTGGCAATTTTTCCATATAACATGTTCTTTCTCCTCATTCTTTTTAATGGCTTTTTAATAGCTACATACCATCCCATTGTATGGACTTACCATAATTTAAAACTAATTCTCCATGATTGGGTATTTTGGTTGTTTGCAGTTTTCTGATATTTTTTAAATGCTCCATTGAACATCCTTGTACGTATGTCCTGATATATGTTTGAAAGCATTTCCATAGGGTAGATTGTGAGCAGTGGGACTGCTGACTTAAAAGCATGTGCTTTTTAAATTTTCAGACAACTTGCTAATTATCTTCCAGAAAAGTACACTCTCCCTGCAAAGTGTATAAGAGAGCCTCTTTCTCTCCATGGCTATGTCAGCTCTGGATATCATCAAACTTAACATTTCCACTCTGCAGGTGGGAGGAGGGAGTGTCAGTGGAGGGAAGCTTCATTACTTTGATCTGTGTATATTTAATTGTAAGTGAGTTTGAACATCTTTTCATATGTTTATTCACCATTATATTTCCTTCTATTAAAAAAAAAGCTTGTATTTCTTTATCCTTTGTCCATTGTAAATTAAAGAGATTTTCTCTTTATTTTATATTTGCTGCTTGTTGCAGTTATCATTTATCTTTCTACCTGATTTTTTTTTTCATAGAAAAGGTTTTCATTTTAGGTAATTAAATATATCCTTTTCTTTTCCCTTTTTGGATTCCTACTTAGAAAACCTCTCACTCTACTCCAAGATCATAAATTTGGCTGAGATTTCTCCTAGAATTGTTTTCTTTTTTTACATGTAAATATGTGACATCAGGAATGTATATTGGGGTAAGAAATGTGATAGATATCCAGCTTTTATTTCAATTGGCCAATTGTGGATATAACGTAACGAGTAATCCCTTTTTTCCTCACTAATTTGAAATGCCAACTTTCTCATGAACTAAGTTCACATTTTTATTTCAGTCTATTTATGTTTTATTAACCTCTTTAGTCTCTGATATCAAATAGTTTTAAATTATTATAGCTTCATAATATGTCTTAAGATTGAGTAATAATGGCCACCTTCACTTCAATTATTTTTTCCCAATTTTTCTAACTCTTCTGTTATGTTTATTTTTCCAGATAAAAGTTAATATCATTTTCGACTAAACTTTAATTAAGTCAACACATGACAGGGAGAATGACCAGTACATCTGAGAACACTGCTCATTTCTTTCTTGGTGTCATAAGAAAATATATACCTTAGGAGTGAATAGGTGGAGGGAATAATGAGCTAGAAAAGTATAAATGCACTTGAATTGGTTGAATATCTCCAGATGCAATAAAAGAGTCAGGATGTAAAGAAATGGCTAAAAATAATTTTTCTTTCTTTTTTTATTTGATTTTGATCTGAGTTGAGAAGAGGAGAGATGGATAGATGTGAGAGGTGGTTTACATCATAGGAATTCTAAGTGAAACAAAATAATTTCATTGTGTGGAATAATAAAACTTGAATATGTAATCCTATTTTCTTCAAGTAACTAGTCACATTTAAATGAAATTTTTCTCTTGGAAGAGAAAAATAGCATAACAGCATATTAAAATGCAATTCTTAAAAGCAGTGTAAACAGTTTTTAAGTTCATATGTAAATGGGAATGGAAGTGCAAAACAAATTACCTGCCACAAATCAAGCCGTCACATGTTTAACTTGTGCCATTTGTGCCTGGCTATTGGATGACTGTGTCTTTGTGTCTGTTCCATCATTCACTCCTGTGAAATGTGTTGAATGCAAAATCCCCCAGGTCTTTTCCAAAGTCACAATTGCCTCATCACACCACTAGTGCCCAAAATGAAGGAGAAATTTTGT